TGATACAGTCCTTTGCTATATTGACCACGTGGGTAATTGCCTTAGCTGGGAAAGGAGGTTATGTTAGTTACAATCTGTTAGTTGGTTGTTAGTTTGTTGAGAAGCTGTTGTGATACATTGTTAGGGCTATATAAACCGATGTATGTTGTATGCTAAGGCATGAATAATAATCTGAATTCATCTTCTTCCCCATCTTCTCCTTCTCTCTCTAAAATCTCTGTTCTTAATCACCATTGCCGTTACAGAGTATCGAAGCTTCATCCTGCAAGCTTCCTTCCTCTGTATCATTGGTATCAGAGCCATTTCGTTCCAGGATTATCAATCAGATCCAATAGTTTGCTGATTCAGAGCTGGCAAACACGCGTGCGCGATCCAAAATGGAGGAATCAATTAAGAAAATGATGGAGCAACAACAAACATGGATGTCGACTCAAATTCTGGAACAAAGACGATTGATGGAGGAACAAATTCACCTACTGACGGCTCAATTACATGAATTGCGGACCAGTTCATCCAGCAATCAATCGGGAGGCGGAAGTCCATCTACAAACTCAGAAGGTAGGAATCCATTCCGGTTTAACCCTAAAATCGAGTTTCCTATATTTGAAGGAGCAAATCCGATAGAGTGGATTAAGAAATGTAGGAAGTATTTCACTCTATGTAATGTTCCTGAGCACCAGAAAGTCGATCTGGCAACTATACATCTGAAAGGAAAGGCTGAGACTTGGTATAGTAACTATAGCCAGTCGAAAATCAATGTGGTGTGGGAGGAGTTCATTGTGGATTTGTGTGTAAGGTTTAAGGATGACATATATGATAATGTGGTTGAGGAGTTTAACAAATTGAGCCAGACATGTAGTTTGGAAGAATACATTGATAAGTTTGAAGAGTTGAAGGCATCCCTGTTGCAAAAAAGGCCTAATATGCCACCAGAACATTTTTTGGACAGCTTTATAGCCGGGCTTAGGCCTCAGGTTAAACCGTTTGTGAAAGCTTTTGCTCCATCTTCTTTGGCTAAGGCCATTAGCTTTGCAAGGTTGCAGGAAGATACTCTAGAAGCATGCAAAACTCATGAGAAGGGCGGTAAGACTGGGCCTTACACCGCTGTATCAACAAGGAGTAACATTCCCCTACTGGCTAGGCCTGATTTTGTGCCCAAAACTGGCATTAGCATGACTGATTCTGCTAAAACTCCCAACAGCAACCCGGTGGCCAACTCTTATGGAAAGTCACAAAACCATGCTCAGAAGAATCCAAGGTTCATACCTGCCACTGTGAGGGCTGAGAAGATTGCAAAAGGACTGTGTTATTATTGTGACAAGCCCTATGAGAGGGGGCACAAGTGTGAAAGCAAAGAAACACAGTTATTCTTAGTGGAAGTATTGGGCAAGGAAGATCAAGAGTTGTTTGAATTGTCCACTTATGAATCTACTGAGACCAATGCTCCTTCTATATCATTACATGCAATAACAGGGGGAAATGGTTTTCAAACCATGAGATTAACTGGCTTTGTGGGCAGAAAGGCACTCCAACTATTAATAGATTCAGGAAGTACTCACAACTTCCTGGACAGTAAAATGGCGCAGAAATTGGGATGTCCACTTGAGCCTATCAACTCACTGAATATAGTGGTGGCTGATGGATACAGTCTACCCTGCACTCAAATCTGTAAAAACTTTAAATGGAGGTTGCAAAACACAGAATTCTCCTCTGATGTCTACATCATGCCTATTGGGGGGTGTGATATGGTGCTAGGCATCCAATGGTTGAGTACACTGGGCACAATTAGATGGAACTTTAAGCAACTATCTATGGAGTTTGAATATTTGGGAAAACACCACACTTTTCGTGGAACCAAACACAGGATGATGATAGCAAAAAGTGATCAATGGGCTAAAGACATGGGCAAGGTGACACAAATCTGTATGGTTCAGGTGAAGGAGAAATTGGATAATCAAACGCTGGACAAGCAAATACTAAAAGCACATGGAGAGGGAGAAGAGAAAGCGATACCTGCAATTGTCCAGCTATTGGAAAAATATGCCAAGGTGTTTAGCACACCAGTTGGCCTCCCACCTAAAAGAGGCCCTTTTGATCATAGTATACCACTTAAGAGTGGTAGCCAACCCGTGAGTATAAGGCCCTATAGATATCCACAGAAACAAAAAGATATTATTGAAAAGCTGATAGAAGAAATGCTGGACAGTGGAGTCATTCAGTTCAGCAATAGTCCATTTGCATCCCCAGTGGTGTTAGTGGGGAAAAAAGATGGATCATGGCGGCTATGTGTTGATTATAGGGAGTTAAACAGGGCAACCATCAAGGATAAGTTTCCCATTCCAATAGTAGAAGAATTGATCGATGAACTAGCTGGTGCAATGGTCTTCAGTAAGCTGGATTTACGGGCTGGATATCATCAAATTCGGGTTGAGGAGAATGATGTGCACAAAACAGCTTTTAAAACACATTTGGGACATTACGAATTTCTAGTGATGCCTTTTGGGCTAACGAATGCCCCAGCTACCTTCCAAGGCCTGATGAATCATATTTTTCAGCCTTTCCTGAGGAAGTTTGTCCTCATCTTCTTTGATGACATTCTCATATATAGCAGTAATTTACAAGATCACTTGGTCCATTTGGAGGAGGTGTTTGAGGTATTGCAGCAGCATTCCTTATTTGCCAAACGGAGTAAGTGCACCTTTGCTGCAACCAAGGTAGAATACTTGGGACATTTCATCTCTGGCAGAGGGGTGGAAACTGATCCTAAAAAGATCCAAGTGGTCTCAGAATGGCCAGTCCCTAAAACATTGAAGGAGCTGAGAAGTTTCTTGGGCTTAGCCGGGTACTACAGAAGATTTATAAGGGGCTATGCTGCCATGAGTAGACCCTTGACTATTCTCTTAAAAAAGGGGGCATTCCACTGGACCCCTGAGGCTACTATTGCTTTTAACCAGCTTAAACAGGCATTGGTGACAGCCCCAGTGTTGGCCATTCCAGACTTTAACCAAACATTTATAGTGGAAACTGATGCTTCTCAATATGGAATTGGGGCAGTACTCATGCAAAACAACCATCCTATAGCTTTTATAAGCAGATCGCTGGGACCCAAGTGGCAACATTTATCGGTATATGAAAAGGAGTTACTGGCTGTGGTGCATTCAGTACAGAAATGGGAGCAATACCTTGTTGCTAAACCATTCATCATACAGACTGATCAAAAAAGCCTTAAGTGGTTACTAGAGCAGAAGATATCCACTCCCTTCCAACAATTCTGGCTCTCCAAACTTATGGGTTTTTCATATGAAATCCATTATAAGAAGGGGCAGGAGAATAAGGCAGCAGATGCCCTCTCTAGGGTCACGGGGGCACAGCTCATGCAGGTGGTATTGTCCAATATCCAATCAGATCTGGCTGATCGAGTAGCAGCCTCCTGGCACTTGGATGCAAACTTAGAAGCTATACTCCAACAGTTACAGCAAGGAGCATCCATGCCACATTACTCTTGGACACACCAGCAGTTGAGAAGGAAGGGCAAATTAGTAGTTGGGCCAGACTCTACACTAAGACATACTATCCTGGTCTGGGCACATGCTTCCCCTGTGGGAGGTCATTCAGGGAGAGAGGCCACTTTAAAAAGGATCAAAAGTATGTTCTATTGGAAGGGGCTAAACAAAGATGTTAATCACTTCATTAGAATCTGCAGAATCTGTCAAGCTTGCAAATATGAGACTATAGCCCCATCAGGCCCTTTACAGCCTCTGCCCATCCCTCAAGAAGTTTGGTCTGACATCTCAATGGATTTCATTGAAGGGTTACCTACTTCTCAGGGAAAGCAAGTGATCTTTGTGGTGGTTGACAGGCTAAGCAAATATGCTCATTTTATGAGTTTATCACACCCTTATACTGCTTTAGAAGTGGCCCAATCCTATCTAGATCATGTTTTTAAACTTCATGGCATGCCCAAGTCCATTGTGAGTGACAGGGATCCTGTGTTCCTGAGCAATTTTTGGCAAGGCCTATTTGCAGTTCATGGAGTGGATTTACGGCTCTCTACTGCCTACCACCCTCAAACCGATGGACAAACAGAGGTGGTCAATAGGTGCCTTGAAAGCTATCTAAGGTGCATGGTTTGTGAAACCCCAAAGGAATGGTCAAAATGGCTGCCCCTAGCTGAATGGTGGTGTAATACAACTTATCATTTAGCCATTCAACTTACTCCTTATGAAGTGGTGTATAACCAACCCCTCCAGTCCATTTGCCCTATCTTCCTGGTGAATCCAATGTAGAAGAGGTAGACAGGTCTCAACAGAAGAGGGAGGAAATGATCAGACTCCTAGAGTTTAATTTGGAGAGGGCTCAAAATCGAATGAAGCAATTGGCGGATTTACACAGAACTGATCGAACTTATCAGATTGGAGATTGGGTTTGGCTGAAATTTCAGCCCTATAGGCAGGCTACCATCATGACTCGGGGCAATGAGAAGCTTAGCGCCAAGTACTCCGGCCCATTCCAAGTGCAAGATGTCATTGGAAAGGTGGCCTATAAGCTGCAACTACCGGCGACAGCTAAAATACATAATGTATTTCATGTTTCCCTCTTAAAGCCTTTCAGGGGAACTCTGCCAGCCACACCACATATTCTCCCTTGGCTGCAAGGTGTTAACGCTGATGTTTGTCCTCAACCAGCAGCAGTCCTGGCCAGAAGGGTAGCCAAGCGCAATCAAGCAGCACACACTCAATTCTTGGTTCAGTGGACTGGACAGGCAGCAGAAGATGCAACTTGGGAATGGGCAGCAGACTTGAAGCTCAAATTCCCAACGTTTCAACCTTGAGGGCAAGGTTGCTTTCCAATGGGGATAGTATGATACAGTCCTTTGCTATATTGACCACGTGGGTAATTGCCTTAGCTGGGAAAGGAGGTTATGTTAGTTACAATCTGTTAGTTGGTTGTTAGTTTGTTGAGAAGCTGTTGTGATACATTGTTAGGGCTATATAAACCGATGTATGTTGTATGCTAAGGCATGAATAATAATCTGAATTCATCTTCTTCCCCATCTTCTCCTTCTCTCTCTAAAATCTCTGTTCTTAATCACCATTGCCGTTACAGAGNGCTATATTGACCACGTGGGTAATTGCCTTAGCTGGGAAAGGAGGTTATGTTAGTTACAATCTGTTAGTTGGTTGTTAGTTTGTTGAGAAGCTGTTGTGATACATTGTTAGGGCTATATAAACCGATGTATGTTGTATGCTAAGGCATGAATAATAATCTGAATTCATCTTCTTCCCCATCTTCTCCTTCTCTCTCTAAAATCTCTGTTCTTAATCACCATTGCCGTTACAGAGTATCGAAGCTTCATCCTGCAAGCTTCCTTCCTCTGTATCATGTAGTGACATTGAATTTTTGAAAAAATTACTCACCTGTTCCGATTTAGATGACGATTGTTTTGTTTTCCTTAACTTGACATTAGTTTATTCTTCATATTCAATAAAGAGATATTTTTAAGTGTCCAGGTGTTTGTGCATGTGTGTTTGGGGAGCAAAACAACCATAGGTTTTAATATCTCGGATATTAAGTTTTATAATAAAAAATTTTGGAGAAGATAAACAGGTGTGTTTGGTGAATTTTAGAGATATGATAAGATATGAATGTTGAAATTTGAAAAATTGATAAAAGTTTTGAATTTTGAAACAAGTGTTTGGTGAAAATAGAATTGAAACCAAACTAGAATAACGATAAATTTTTCCGTGGAACTAAGGTCCATGCCTATTTTGTATGATTGCTTATTATTTACGAGTTAATTTTTCTTTTTTCTTTCCCCCTCTGTTTTCTTTATCGTTTTTTTGCACGGTCTTTTTATCTCTTTTTCTCCATCCAGATCTCCACTATTTTTCTTCTTTCTCCAATCTTTCTTATTTCTCCTTCTCCTTTTTCTCCTTCTTCTTCACTAGTGCAGATTTGCATATTCTTTTCCTTTGTCCTTTCTCTCATCCTTTGTCTTCCTTTATTTTTTGTTCTTTTTCTCTCCTCTTCCTCCCCCCTTCTTCGTCCCCACCTTCTTTCTCCTCTATCTTTTCGATCTATCTTCTTCTTCTTCACTTCCTTTCTCTCGCTTCATTTTTATAGATCTGTCCGCCGGCGTTCCCTTCCCCGTGACGATTATGAGACATCACCACCATCCGAGCCCCTGGTGCCATTGTCGTATTTAATTTTCGACCCTAGGTCGGCGCCACCATCCTAGCCACAACAACAATGACTCTGGCGACCGATGTTGTTGCAGTCTGACTTTGATCTTGTGAACGTACATGGATGGGTGAGACTTTGGTGTATCGGATTGGACGGCTTGTGGCCACCAAATCGAAGCCTGTATTGAAAGTGGAGAAAGGCTTGGAGCAAAAGACTTTAAAATCTTTGAGAGGAATGCTAGGGGTCTTGCTTTGTGTGGTGGAGATGGAGGGGTACAAATGGGGTACCCTAAATGGTGTACCCCTAGCATTTTTGAATCTTTGAATGTGGCCAAGGATTTGTTTGTAAAGTTTCCATAAAGCTATTTGTACCCCAAGAATTTGTACTCCATTTTATACACCGCAGGAATGTACTAACACTTTATATTGGTGTAATGCTAATTTTTGTTAACACACCAACACTTTGTGTCAGTGTAAATTTTTATTAGTGCATTAACACTTTGTATCAATATGAAATATCAAAATCTTAGTGCATACCTTTGGTGTATAAATGGAGTACAAATTTTGGGGTACATGTAGCATGCTCCGTAAATTTTCCTTTTAGAAAAACATCAAATCCATCAAAATCTACATTTCGTAAAAATCTTTCTAAATCCATGGAATGTTTTATACCATTAGATGGAGGAAGTGGAAGTGTAAGTATGGAAGGGAAGAACTGTTTTTCATATCAGCAATGCTTATGTATGATGATATCGGCAAAATGACTAGGATACGGAAACACAGTTTGATTTCAATTCAATTTTTTTTTGTACTTTCACCAAACATATATTTTTAAAACTGTATACCCCAAATACTGAAACCCATATGATTTTTCCCCCTCAAACAAACCCTAAAAAATGTGATTCAATACTGACTATTTTTGGTGGTATAAATCTTCCACTCTCTGTTTTAATTTAAGTTGACTTTTGCTATTTAAAGAATATACTTTAATCACTTCCATTACTAGGCGCATGGCATATTTTGCATACTGCGACAAAAGGTCAGGCCTAGTGTGCCTCTTCCGCGGGCCCGTCCAAGAGCCTTCGGGATCTAACGGGTTTCATTAGGAGCTTGTGCACGTACATGGTAACTAGGCATTTAGTTACCACCCACAGTTTCTAGGCTCCTTTTGGAGGGTAAGGTTTCCTCTACTCATCACCGCGTGGGGATGATCACTGAAGGGCAGGGGGTCCCTGCGCAGTCTAACTCATGCAACATGGATCATTTGGCATTGTATTGTTTATTTTATGCAAATTTTATTTATCAAATTGTATGTGGTATCTCGTACTTTAGTACAAGTATAATAATGTTTATATCAATGTGAATTGTACTATGCGTTCTACTGTTAGATTACCACTCAGCTTATGCTGAGCGTATAGCGTTGTTTTTGCTATATGCAGGTAGGCGTGATGATCATGGAGCCTAATCCGGATGACTAGGAGATCGGGGCGGCGGATCGGAGACGGCGTGGTCCTGATTTAATTTTCATTTAAGATTACAAACTGTTTTGGGCTTGAACCCACCGTTGTTGCGTTTACTTCGTTTAAGACTTAACGATTATTTTCTTTTATTGCTTCTGCCATGAAACACCTCTTTTATGGGAATTAATTTCCCAATTGTTTTATTAAATATATCAAAGGTTTTCGTTTTACAAAAGTAATGCAAGGAGTCTTTTGTAGATGGTCCTAAAAACCGTCTATGCAACCCCTCCGGCTCGTTGGGCCGCGGCGACCGCGGCGAACTGGGTCTGCGGGACGGAGGGTGTTACACTGAGGAAAGCCTTTCGCAACCAACCTTGCCTTGTAGCAAACATCTTCTTTGTTAAGAAATCCTTCTTTCTTTGTGAATACCCATTTTCATCCAGCTACCTTCTTACGTTTCAGTAATTGTTCAGTAATTGTTCCAGCTTCCATGCCTTGTTATTCTTCTTTTCCATTGCACCTGCCCAATCACCACTCTTCGAACTCAAAATGGCTTCTAGGTAATTGGATGGAATGTCATCAACAACTGGAAGTGCATAGGCAACCATATCCATGAAACCAGCAGGCTTATGAATATCTCATCTCTGTCTTCTAACTGTAGTTAGTGCCGATTGCTATTGATGTTCTAGGGTAGGAACCTCTTCCTCATTTGATTTGTCTTCTGCCGTAGTAGAGTCACTAGTGGTGCTTCGTGCTGGGATCACCACCGTCTGCTCAAACTCCATTACTTCGAAGTACAATCCACCTGCTGTGAAGTACTATTAGCTCTTTCTGGATTTACCTACTTCAACATGGCAGATTCATCAAAGGTAACACCCTTGCTGATAATCGTATTCTTTGCAGACACCATGAACGATATCTCTTTACTCCAGGGGTAAAGCCCATGAAAATATCCTTCTTTGCCCGTGGATCCAACTTTGATTCAATCACATGATAATATGCAATGATAATATGCAACTGCACCAAAAACATGCAAAGAATCATAATCAGTAGCAGGTTTTCTAGACCATACCTCTAACGAAGTTTTGCCATCTATAACAGATGAAGGCAAACGATTGAAGAGATCTTGAGCATATGTCACAGCCTCAACCCAAAACTTCCTGCCTAATCTAGCGTTAGATAACATACAAAAAAACTTTCTCCATAAGTGTCTTGTCCATACACTCTGACACCCCATTGTGTTGTGGTGTTCTTCTAACCGTGAATTGTCGAACTATGCCATAGTCTTGGCATACCTCCAAGAATGGATCACTCTTGTATTCTCCTCCATTGTCTGTTCGTAGAACCTTGATCTTCCTCCCGTCTAGTTTTCAACTTGAGCTTTCCACTTGAGGAAAATCCCAAGCACATCATCTTTGTTCTTCATGGTAAACACCCAAACACTCCTGGAAAAATAATCAAAAAAAGTGACAAAATAATGCCTACCCCTGATAGACAAAGTCTTGGCAGGTCCCCACACATCTAAATGCACATAATCCAGAATACCCTTGGTATTATGAATTACAATGCCATACTCCACTCTTCGTTGTTTTCCTCGAACCCAATGCTCACAAAATTCAAGTTTGCAAGCCTTCGAACCGTTCAGCAATCCCTGCTTGGCAAGAATTTTCAAGGATTTTTCTCCAACATGTCCCAATCTCATATGCCACAGCTTCGTTGCCTCGACATCCTAGCTACTTGGTGCTAGAAGTTGTCGCCGGTACTGTACCCACCACTGTACTACCTTAGTAGTAATATAGATTATTCTTCCTCATGCCTTTCAACATCACATTGCTCCTGAAGTTTCTTTAAGAGCTCCCTCTCGCATCGTCACAACTAGGCCTTTAGATTCTAAAGCCCAAATGAGATGAGATTCTTCTTGTAACACCCTTCGTCTCGCAAACCCGCTTCATCGCGGCCCAACGAGCCGGAGAGGTTACGTAGGCGGTTTTAAGGCCGTCTACAAGGAAAACCCTTGCGTTGCTTGTAACGGAAAAACCCCTTGATATATTTTATTAAATGATGAGAATAAATTCAATTAAAGGAAACGTTTCGTAGCGGAAGTAATTGTGAACAGTAAATATTAAGTCTTAAATAAGAAGTACGACAAAGGTGGGTTCAAGCCCAAAACGTTTTTCATAATTAAATAAATAGTTAATTTGGCATGCACTGTCGTTCATCCGCCACCCCGATCACCCAATCATCCGGGTCAGGTTCCATGATCCTCTGGCCTACTTGCGTATAGCAAAGGAAAACAACGCTATACGCCCAACAAAAGCTGAGTGGTAATCTAACACCAGAATACATAGTACATTCACATTGATATACACATAATCGTACCTGTGCTAAAGTACGAGGAACCACATACAAATTTTTTGAATATAAAGCTACGAATAACAGTGATGCAATGTCAAATATTCATGATGCATGAGTTAGACTGCGCAAGGACCCCCTGCCCTTCGGTGATCATCCCCACACGGTAGATGAGCCGAGGAACACCTTAGTCATCCCGATGGAGACTAGTATGTATGTGATAGCTAAGCCTAGCTACCATGTATGTACACAAGCCCTCACGATGGGAACCCGTTGGAACCCGCCTGGACGGGCCTGCGGAAGAGGCGCACTGGGCCTTACCTCTTGTCGCGGTATGCAAAGTATGCCATGATTTTAAACATGCGTCTAGGATATACATGATGATATGAATGCATCGCTTTGATGAATGAAGTTCAACACACACATATACGTTTGTTCTTATATGAAATGATCTGTACAAAATGATGGCCTTGGGTTCAGAACTGGATGATTATCGATTATCCATTTCTAATAATCGATTATCGCGCATTGCAGCTTCTGTTCCCAAGTCCTGCAGACTGTAATAATCGATTGTCACCTTCTGGCAATCGATTGTCACGCTGTTTGGTTAAGGAAAACTAAGTTCAGAGAGGCCTGAAAATCGATTATTGCCTCAGTGATAATCGATTATCAGATGAACCAGCTCCGATTCAGGAATCCGCAAAGGTTGATAATCGATTATAATCTATGTGATAATCGATTATCACGCTTTGCGGATTCTAACGAGAAGTCCAGCGTGGCCTGATAATCGATTGTCTAGTCCTGTAACTCAATTATCATGGCACGTGGCTCCTCATTTTGCCTGATTGGTTATAAACCTTACGTGGAAAGTTTACGGAATGAATGTTTATGTTTTCAGAATGATTAAGCTACGGAATTATGGATTATCAAAATGTTTGTATTAACAAATTCATCATTAAAAGGTCTAGATAACATATAACCATGATAATGCAGACACACGTATGTTTAGCCGGGTAATCCTATGAATATAACGATATGATTTAACTACGAATTCTAAAGTTAGAGGGCAACGTACTCACCTCTAACGCAGTGATTAACGATAACGGAAAACGGATGGACGAACGGTTGACGAACAACGAACGGCTTCTCCCGTCGACCCTCCTTCTCTCCTTCCTCCTCGTCCACTCGCCGGAAACTCCCCCCTTGGCTGCTGTTGTCTTGGCCGAATACAATGGAGAAGATGAGAGAGTGAGAGAGTTATGAGGGTGGTGAATGCTTGGGAGGTTACAAGTTTTGGTGAAGGAGGTGAAGGGAGAAGGGGTTTAAATTGAGGAGAGTAAAGAAGAAATGATGGGGATTTATTATGGAAATGAATGGGTGTGTGAATGTGTGAGTGAGGCGTGTGGATTAAATGGGGAGTTATCTCCCTTTATTTTACTCCGTTGTATAAACTCTTACCTGACCGGTATGCATTTTTTCCACCGAACGGTCCAAATTGAGATCCGTTTGTGTTTTTGGAATCGGACAGTCAAAACGAATATTATGACGTGTTCAAATAATTTT